TGAACTTCTATGTACATATTTAACTGCAGCAATCCTTTTGTTAATCTTTCTCTTACCCACTGTTATGATTCGATGACAAAGAAATCGACAGAAATGCTTTTATATCTTTAACACTTTTTGTTTACACAATTCTGAAATACGTTCCCCTTCAAAAGTAACAAAATTTAAAAAAAAAGGAAAAAAAGGGGGGTGTTCTTTCGATTCTTTTGCTCGTATTTCAGATTTCAATCACATTTATGCTTTCCTTCTTGATGAATTAATACTGAGCGATTTTCAGATAAACTAAGTCTACGTTACTAATACCAATATCAATCTCAAAGCAAAGAAGTATTTAAAATCCAGCAAAGCAAAAACCTTATGTTTGGAGTAGATTTTAACCAAGACTCTAAGGATTCCAAGGGTAAAGGAGTACAGAGTTCCTTTCCTAAAGAGCAAAGAAATCTGCAACTATAGGGAAAATGATGGTTGTATTTATACCCGAAAATCTCAAGAAAATGTAGCTGCATTTGTAAGCAGAAATAGTACTGGAACGACAGAAAAAGTACTGGAAGTTCTTTCTAACGCTTTTAAAACTGTATTAATTTATCAATTTTCGTTACTATTTCTGGCGAAAGGTGGCGCTACCTTGTTGTTGGCTTTGCTCTTTTTGGATATAAATACAACCGTGGCTATTCTTTCGTTGCAGATTTCTTCGCTTCTGATGGATCTGTCTATGTTTACCCTCGAAATAAATAGAGCCTTGACTAAAATCTAAGCCAAACAAAAACCTAATTTTATGTTTGACATTTTTCTCTTCTCTCTTGAAGGAAATATTTTTTTCGATATCTAAAAATATTGTAAATTACCTATTCTAGGACCAGGAATCCCTAGCACATAATAAAAAGAAAGGTTTTATGCATAATATATTAACTTTTTCATGAAACTTAAGGTTTATATATCGGTTAGAGCATTAGCTTTGTAATAAATGTTAAATGCATCGTTTGCTTCGGGTTCTAAAGTGATAGTCTAGATTTGCAATGATCCATTTTGGATGGAATGAAAAGTTACATTGGAAAATATGTAACATTCCATTAATTTTGCATAGCATATCCCATTCATTTGTTATATGTGCTGAATTTTTCAATTAAATTCAAAATATTAATTTTGGTGTGTACTATTGATTTCACGTATTTTTAATCTTGCGTATCATGTTATAGCTCGCAAAAATTTGATTTGTACTGTCTGTACTTGTTCTTAATATTTTTATTCATGATCTATGTTTACGAAGAGTAAAGTAGGATAGATTTTGCTGTCACTTAATAACGTTTAAATGAATCTTCTGCTATATTTTCCATAAAAACTGAAATAGCCATGCTTCTCGTAGTCGCCCTCTATACTGGACTTTGGATAACGTTCTTGGTCATAAGGTAGTTAAATGCGTGCAGTATTTTACCTTAATTTAAGAAGTTATTTTGATTTAAATCCTTTCTATAATTTCTCCTTTCCGTATTTCTCAACAGGATGCAAATTAGTTGGTTGAGTATTTAAGTCAAGGTTTTTGAATATTTTAGAGCTTTTGACAGTGTTCCCTTCAAGTTATGTTATATCACCCTCTCTGCGGCTTTAGTGATTTTACTTGCGAACATTAGAACGCACCATTTAAAATAATGAGCCAGTTTAAGTAGACCACTTTGTGTAGTACACGAGTACGTTACTTTTAATTTAAATTTCAACTTACGTTATTTTAAACACCCACAAGTGGCGCAGTATATGTGTACACACAAGTTGTGCTTTCTGTTCATTTAAATAGTTAAAAAGAAGGTCATTTTCTTCTTATTATGACTTTGTCAGGATATTTTTATATAATGCTAATAGGGCAGAAAGACTCTGATTTAATTTCTACATAATTAAGACTACGTAAATGACATATGAATTCGGCCACAATTTCCGACTTATGCTTCAACCAGCGAATGTCCGTCCATTGTGACTTAGGAAGGGGGAAAACCTTGAGGTTTATGAAATTTACCTTAACATGCAACGTCAAAATAAGGGCGTCTGATTTCAATATTCTCAAAAGCAATAATGAAATGCCATGGCGTTATTGAACACTAATCTGCTATACACTGTCAACTGCACAGGAAGAAATTTGGAAGATTATTATAGATACTTCAAGAACGTACTATATCTTTATAAATATGTTACGTTCATAAACAATCTATGAAATAAATTATTTCGCACCGGATAAGAATAAAATGTATGTTTCAGAAATGTGGGAAAAAAAAAAAAAAAGAGTGCTTAGAATATTTCTCTTTGGCATTAAATTTAAGATGTTCTGAGAGTCTTGAATAAATAAATGTATTCGATCTGGTTAAAGAGAGTCTTCTTTGAAAATTATATAATAATTACTAGTATTGATGTTTATTTTCTTTTTCAAAAATTTTAGTCCCTTTTCTAGATGGCCTTCTGAGTGGTCATTGCAAGAAGATTCATTCTAATCTTCCGTATAATTTTACAGTTTCTGTTTCTGTATATTTAGACGCTCGCATTATTTTATAAAATTTTACAGTTCATGTATACATACATACATATGTGTGTGTGTGTAATAAAAAAGGGACTTTGCAGTATTGATGACGTAGAGAGTATAAGGTTGAAACCGTAATGAAGAGCAGGAATTTTGATAGCGCAGAATATTGAAATGCTGATCCACAATGAATAGAAACTGGCAGCCGAGGCATATTAAATTTCATTTTATTTCAGTAAACATGTTTCGGCCACAAATAACTTGGCGCATTATTTGTGATTATTTCAAAATATTTACATTTTTGATAATTCTGCGTAAGAATGGAAGCAGCAGATCGAAGAGCAGCAGTCCAGCCAGGTCGAAGCGTAGCAAGCGAGTGATTTATGTTCAGAATGAAATCTTAATTCAGACAGAGTTAATTTTGATTCTCATGCATTTTGATTGGATAATTAATACTGCTGTAAAATTATTATTCCATGTTCGTGTTTTATTACATCCATTTACATCATCAGAATTATTCAAAAGTGATATGACATGGACTAGTCTCGAAATGACGTAGTACACCTAAATGCGTAATAATGCCTAGAATGAAGAATCCGGTACTTTAACCTCTGGTTGTAGACATAGCTGAGAAGATAGTTATAGCTGAGGGTGAAGGTTGATAAAATATCTAACAAAACTGAATTAAAGATTCCCCACCTTTATTTTTACACTTCTCAAACCGTCTTTTTGGCAGACAAATTACTTTTCAATCATCGTTGAATACAATAATTTTTATATACACAGGGAAAAAGATACGACGACCTTTCAGGCAGGAAGGCATAAGCGGTGCTGAGTTGTTTGCATAGCAGAAGTCAGAAAAAGGAACGTAGTTCTTCACGAAGCCGTATTTATACTATGTAGATGCTTTCTGCGAAGCTAAACCGTGATTGCTTAATTTTAGTTACCTGTTTTAAGCAGTGTTATGTAATTTGGAAAAATCTCGAATTTGGGAGAAAGGATGAACTTAGAGAGAGAGAGCATAAAATATAGAATTGTTAATTATGAGGTCGCCAATTATTTCTTAAAGCAGCCATCGTATTTTATTATATCTTACATATATATATATGTGTGTGTGTGTAAGAAACATATTGTACAGAACATCATGTATTACACACATATACATATATTATATATTATTAGTATTATATATATATGATTCCTAATCCGGGTAATTTGATTTTTTTTCGAATTTTTCCAATTATATTTTTTTATCCTACAATAGAACTTTTTTTTTCGAAGTATTCTTATTGAGTTTAATCAGTCAATCGCACTTTTCTAAATTCATTACTATTATTATTATTCACATTGATTTTCCTTGCTCATATTTGATTTCAGCCTTGCTACTATACAGAGGAATAAATTTTTACATTTGGAAAAGGAGCCTATAGGGGTTGGACTGTTAAAAACACAGATTATTTTTATCGTTTTTCTAAGATGATTTTAGAATTTTAAACTTTAATTTGTACTTTATGGGTTCCGAAATAGGCTGTTTATTATTTTTTTTACATCTTTCATTGCACCGACCCCCTGATGACGATGTAGCGAAACATGCAAATTTCATATTGGTTTTGGAATAATTTATCCTCGAATTTCTTGCAGTTTGCCGCTATCATTCTGTTTTTTTCCCATGTGATTTATTTCAAATTTAATATGTGATAAATTTTAACCGTATTTTTTATTTTTATTTTATTTTGCATTATTTACCACCACAAAGTTGCTATCAGTGCGCAGTTAGTTTAGGTTTTGAACTGGTTTTTAATTTGTATTTATTCACATATATATATGTGTGTGTGTGCATATGTATCTACCTATCTATATATATATATCAATAAATAAAAGTAGAAAACAGTTCAATATATATATATATGTTTGAATGATATATATATGCCAGTGTTTGAATGTTATATATATGCCAGTGCAACATGGAGAGAGAGAGAGAAATTATAAAAAGGCATTCACATTGATTTTCCTTGCTCATATTTATGAAATTAATGTTAAGATTAGACGAGTAACATCAAAAAATGGCTTAGCTGCCCATAAATTCGTAAAACAATTCATGTTCTGCGAATACAATGTTTGAAGCGAGTCAAATGATGAGGTTATCGACCAATTCCATGGGGTAATCGCACTTTGATTCCGTGTATAGGTATGTAAATTAGGAAAAAAAAAAAGAATAAATTCTGTTTGAAGTTTCGCAGTTTAAGGTGTCATAAGTTCAGCTTATCGTATAAATATCTGCAAGAATAATAATTAATGTCATCTTACTTAAAAGCCCACCGTAAGAGTTCTATTTATGTATTTGTCATATTGAATTTTCACATTGAAAAGTTGTCGAAACATTTAGTGACAGCCCGTCATTATTAACTACAATACAATCAGGACATCTTGATTGCTGGGCTAAAGAGTCTTATCAAAGGAAATTACACGGTGCATTAGATTCATATCAGAAAACACTTACCATCAACACACGATTCCTTTTCAAAATAAACAGCGCCAGTATCGACTTCTGACGTTTCTTCGAGAGCTTTGACGGGTTGTTCTAAGGGTCCAAACTCTGATGCAGAGTCCTCGGGACTGAGAATACAGGTCTCGCCATCGAATTCATAGGAACGGCAAAGGAAAGGAGCGGTGTGAAGGCAGGAAATTTCACATTGCTCACGAGTGGTTATATTCTTGATGACTTGAACATGACGATGGCGCCGTAAGATTGCACGTGACTGCCTGCTGCGGAACTGGCATCCTGTAGGCTCTGGAATGTAAAAGTTTGGTACGATCATTTAAGCCAAAATAATTTAGTTTGCTTATAATTTTAATTATGGAGAAGACATTCGAATAATCGAATACTCCAAATCTCGAAAAACATTCAAATCGCCGAATACCCCAAATCTTGAAAAGCATTCACTATTTTAAAATACGAATATAAAAAATGAAAAATCTGAAAGCTTTCAGATTTTATATTACGCCCAAATGCCGTTTGTATGTTTTACGTTTGTTTGTTGTACGTTTAACGTTTTGTATGTTAGCTTTATTTATTAAATATCATGTTTTTCGCATTTAAACCACATAAAACAAAATTCAACAGTCATATCACAAAATATTTAAAAACAGCAAAATAGCATACCTTTAGAATTTCCAATACACAGTCTCGCGGGTTGGAGATAAAAATATTTCTTTTCCATATAGTGTTGCCATTGCTTGTTTTGAAATCGTTGACTTTGTCAATCAGAATTCATTAAAGCTTTACAAAATTTGAAATAGATAATAAAACAATTTCGAAATTCAAAATTCGGGCTTTCAAGTGCCCATGCTCGGTTGAAGGACAACGTTATTCAAAATTTGATAGCTCTAAGTTCTGCTGTCTTTACCCAATGCGAGAAACATTCATGCAGATTCTTCATTATTTAGTTTCTTTAAATATAAAACAGGACAATAATATTTAGTGGCAACAGTTTGAAAAGTGCATCAACGCTGAATGTAAAAAGACGCAAAATGCTGTTTTGAGCGTAATAGCCCTTTGGTTCTAAAGCCCTTTTGGGCTAATAATCTTCTGTTAATCTGTTGTTCAGTTTAAGTAAAGAGTCTTTTACACCCTTTCCAAGTCCCTGTTGTAATTTCCAAGACACAGCGAGAAGTCGCTTAAGTCTTCAACAGTTCTCAGTTAGTTTATGTTACCAAAGAGAGGGAGACTCGAGAAAACATTTTTCATAAAGGAAAGTGGATTTCAAGTGGAGGAGTGCACTTGTGTATGTAACAAGAGTTGATTTCCTTGTTTTTAAAACATGAATCTTTAAAACTTTAACTTGCTTAAGCATAGAACACATAGATATAAACACATACATGCATATATAGTAAAAATAATAATAAACTGGATATAAAGTTTAAATTTAAGACATTTAAAATTTAACAAATTTTTAACACATCTGGAAGAAATTTATTAAAACTTCACTAAAGCTACTAGAAGCCAAGCTATTAGCATTACTGAAGATAACTGATTAAAATTTTTACTTCAAGAATTAAACATAGAGTTTAAATTCATTTGACACTTGTATATCAAAAAAGGCGAAAATTCAGCGGCAAGAGACCCCCAGGCGGGAAAATCAGGACGCGTCCCGAACGATAGAAGCTCTAACTACGCCACTGACTGACACACTTCTAGAATATGGTATTTAGCTTTTTTATGGTAACGTTCTAACGTTGTATTAACTTACCTTCCACACACTGTCGTTCGAGATAGAGTACCGAACCAGGATTCGGCGACTGTCGGAATACTTCGGCTGCTGTTCGACGGTTATGTTGACTGAGAATGCACTCATAATTTGTCTGGTTGAACCTAGCAGATCGACATGTGAATGTGGGTTCCGAAAGACAGAGAGACATGCAAAGATCACTAGAGTTTATATTTGTAATTATCTTATCGAGGTAGTGGAAAAGCTGAACGCCTTGGACTTCATCAAACTCCCACTCGTGCTTGCATTGTGTATCTGAAAAAATATAATTATTATCATAAGAAATTAAATTTTATTAATGCTATTATTATAGATAACGTATCCTCAGAAGCCTTAAACCTATTTTTAATAGAAATCCTATAAAGCTGTGATTATTGTTAGAAACTTGAAATGAGATTCATAAGAAAATAGAAAAAGGCTACTTACGTATTGTCGCAACCACATTGACAGAAGCCGTCAACTTTTCATAATGCGCCAAATTCTGGCAACCATGCGTATAAGCATTCTTCAGACAATCATGCTCATTACAGTTCTTTAGAAGTAGCATAGCCATTTTCGTATGCGTTCATTTTTATTTTTCGTATATGTTCCTTTTTATTTTTTAAAATTTATCATATAATTCTTATTTAACAATTAACACTTGTATTTTAAATTGCAAAAGTGTGTTTTATTTTGATAAATTGTGATAATGTTTGCCGATTTACGAGTAGATAAATATCGATAGTTTGTGAATCTTTTTAAAAAATGTCATGAAGATCGCCAGCTTACGCCGGATAAGTAATTTTACCTTTTCATCTGAGAAAATTGCCATATTGCTTCAAGGTGGTTGCGTTAGTACGTAAATACTGAAAAAAAGTAACAGAAACATTAAGTCGCTGACATACCAGGTAAACATAATTTTCTGTGGTAACTACTATATCCGTCTTGCACTAATTCGTTCTCCAGCTCCGCTGTAGTAACATTGTGGACTATAAGGCAAGAGCTATTCTTGTAATCGATAAAGTATGCTGAGCAGCTGTCATCCTGCATGCAAAGAGCGAAACATTCCGAAGGTGGACTTTCGTGCACTTGAATAACATCACCGGCAGGTAACGAATCAAGTTTGAGTTTGGAGAACAGCCTGCGGACAAAGGTCAGCTTTCCAGAGGGGCAGCTTACTGAAAAGTAGAAAGGAAATCTTATTTTTATTTGGACAGTTATTTATGCGTTTAGATAGCTGTTCCTTTTAAATTCAAAACCTGACAGAAGAAAAATAATGTATTTATTCGAAGGTCGTCTTTAAATATACATATAACTTTTGCTCTTCTGTTATTGTACAGACCAGGGATTCTCAACCTTTTTCTTGCATCGGCCGCTTTTAAAGGAATAGTTTTGTCCGTCGACCCTCCTTTTATATTTTCCTCAATAATATATAGTATACAACATAATCATAATACAAATAATTGCATGTAATTAACTTAAAGACAATTAGATTTAGAATATAAACAAAAGTTTTGGAAAAAACTGTTTATTAGATTCATGTTTAATTATTTTTTGTATTATTATTAATATTAATTTTACAAATACAAACCAGTTTTCAGAAACAAAATCACGCATTCAAATTGAAAAAAAAGCTCGATTTTAATGAATGTGATGGCTTAGTATTGTTGAATTTTTTTTTAAATATTTCGCGTTACATTGCTTAATTTAATTTTTAAAACCCCCTCGTTCAAAAATATTCAGCCTGATTCTTGTTTTCGATTCTATTTTTCGGTCTCCGCATTCCCCTTTTTTATTGCGTTTTCTTGTATTGCATAAAAATTTATACATTAAAAAATATTACTCATTTTTTAATTTATTAAATGATTTAAACTTTTCCCCCGTACAGTTATTTTATATGATTTCTTCTTTACTGCGTGGTACAGCTTTATACCAATACACAATATTAATATTTTTTCTTATCAATGGGATTCATATTATATCGATAAACTGTCTGTGCATACTGAGCTTTCGACCTTTAATCAACGCCTTAATCATCACTGACCACCTTAAATATTTCATTGATCCCTTTAAGAACTGTTTAGACCAGATATGTTTATTCACGCGTTTTTAATCATTTAGAATGCAATATAATCTTTTTTTATTGCAAAGTATTGAATCAGGGATTTCCTAGAGTCATAAGCATGCAGAAGAGGCAGTCTGTGTTATTTTGACTACTTTCATAAAACATTTTTATTATTTTATTATATTTATTATTTCACATAATTTATTTATTTTAATGTTACTTTACATTTATTTTACTTTACTTTAGGTTACATTTGTTTTACTTTACCTTTGTTAGATTACTTTTATGTTTAAAATAATTTAGATTACTTTTACATGCATAAAACTCATTTCAAATACTTTAATGTAAATGCACATGTACATACGTACTTCATAATTCGTAGAAATATGAATTTGAGTCATTTTAATCATTCAAATTAGTCTAGACTTAATTAATGTGTTGCATTTTTACACTCTTTTGATGGTAACAGAATATAGGTTTTCATTGTTGCTATAACTTTTGAATATTTTAGAATTTATTTCAAAGATTTGTTTTATAGTGTTTCTTGATCTCATGTATTTTTTCATGCTATTTTGTTTAATTGTTTCTCTTTAATATGAATTGTTTCTAATGATATGAATTGTAATATTAATTATTTTTTCAAATTTTCTGTTTATTTTCTTTAATTGTTTTTGAAATGATATTTCACTTTCGTTTCTGCTCTTTTTTACAATTTAATTTTATAGTTTTCATCCGAAATTAGAAACAACAATAAACTCACTATTATTAAAGTCTAGCTTATCGCCCCCCCCCGAAAAAAGGTAATTAATATCTTTGATTATGGTATATTCAGTATTTGAAAGAAATACCCCGTTTTTAGCGTAGTGAATTCCGCCGCTAAAGGTTAAAATAAAGCTCAAATTTAAATGAAAAAAAATACTGTCCAAACAATATCTGGATGGATTAAAAAGAGGCATTTATAAATACTTAATCCAAATCAAAAACTGAAGATGTATGCACATATTATTATTTTTTTAACAATTTTAACGCTGCACGTTTATGCGTTTAATGAGTGTTTACTGTAATTTTTCTGAAATTTCTGTGGCGTTAATATTTTATAGTAGAGGGCATCCGAACAAATCTCCGGATTTGATATTCCGGAAAGAAAACTTTATTCTTAGAAAATGGATAATATTTTTACATACTTACAACAGGTAAATAAATATTTCGATTTGAGAACGTAATGTTTGATTTGACCTGGTAACGCCGGCATTTTATCACTGTCAGCTAACTCATTTTGCAGCTTCATTGCAATTGAGTCGAAAAAGAGCGCCACACAAATATTTTGATTATGAAAAATCATCGGAAGGTGGCAAGTGTTATGTACAGACTGTTAGAAAGCTTCATGCAATGTTTGGACGCGGACATGTGCCTAATGAAATAACAGTTTTCGGATTGATAAAGAAATTTGAAGACGCAGGGTAGACAGCAGATATTATATGACAACGCTCTCATTCTAACTGGTCTGATGAAAATATTGCTATTTTGCGTGACAGTGTTATTGGAAGTCATAAAAAAAGAAACTACTTAAGAGAAGCAACAACACAAAAGTTAAAGAGGAAATTGAACGTGTCATTAGCCGCCTCGATAGCCAGATACGTGAAAGAGTTCCGAATTTCAATGAGAAAGTACGGTGCTGCAGAGAACGTGAAGTCGTGGAGGACATATGCCGTACCTTATTTTTTTAAATAGAGCGTTGACCTGTATAAGTGTGTTAAAATAGTTTCCATTTTCTGAAAATATTTTATTGGAAATATAAATTAATAAATATGATGCTTTTATTGAGATGACATTGAGATGAAGTCTTTTTCACATCGCCGTTGTTTTCCAGTTATCTCTCTCTAACAGAGCTTAGTTAATGGGGGTCATCGAGAGATCATTAGCTAACCGAAGGGTTATTTTGTGGATTTGCGTTAAAATTTTCTTGAATATGTAAAGTCTTTTAAGCCTTTATATAAATACATCAACAGTTTTTGAAGTGACAATTTATTTTTAATTGATATTTTTTCAAAATGTGGAGGATAAAGATTTCGGTATGTCTATTGAATGTAAGAAAAATGTCTGCTACATGAAAAACTGAGTTTACAGTGTACAGACATTAGGTATTTTAGAAGCAGAAAAGATGAAAAATATGCAACAGCCTTCGCCGGGAATCGAACCACGGACCTCTGGAATACCGGCCCAGCGTGCAGAACCACTACAGGACGAAGGCACGCTAGGAAAGTGGGAGAAATACCTTGTAACAGTAAAACAGGGGATAAGAGACTATCAAGATCGAAACAAAGAACTCTGTACTTGTGCATATAAATAACGCAAATTGTGGATGATTTTGTTGTTATTTTATTATAAATTGCCACGTATTTTGACATATAAGCCGATCCATATATAAAGGGAGAGATAAAAATTTGCAGACAAACTTAATTAAAGCTGGAAACCCATTTATAAACTTAATCTGTCCTATAAGTTCGGCCAAAAGTCTTTAAAAATACGAATAACTGATCGTCTTACTCAGCAAAACTTATTTGTCGAGCATTAATAGTAGTTACACTGAAGATAAGTATCCGCAACTTCCATTCAAAAATTAAAGGTGAGAGCCACTATATCCACTTTCTACTATCCCAACTATTAAAGGTGAGAGCAGTATATAAGGAAAATAATTTTGGCGCGAATAATTTTACATTTCCACTATCCCAACTTTTAAGAGTATCTATCATTTGAGGCTTTAGTAATCGCGTTGCGAATTTAATTTTGGTTCTCAGCTATGGTAAGCTTTTTCCAGCAAGCATAAGACCCAAGATTCTCCTCTCCTTTTAACTATGTTCTAGCTTTTACGAATCAAATAACATTCTTCGTTTGTACTATATTATAACTAATGTTCAGACAATTAAACAAATTTTTTTTAAAAAAGTAGGCTTTTTTTAACGTTTTGTATGTAGCCTTTATTTATTAAATACAGTGGGTGATCGGTTAGCGAACTTAATCCGTTACAAGACTATGTTCCCTATCCGAACTGTTCATTAACCGATCATCGATTTACCGTACATTTTTTGTCAAATCGATTAATTCATGCTGGAGACCCTAAAAATTAAATTTTAAAAAAAAGGTTGTATTATTTCTTAGTAAGTTATTAAGAAATAATACACACATATAGTCTTGTATATTAATTAGTCCTTTTTATTTTTTGTTTATGTTAAAGAACATGTCCAATGTCGATTGATTTTCTCTCTTATTCAGGATTTTCCGGAAGTGATTAATAGCATTGTCGTTGTAAAGATACCCGACCCTACTGACATCAGCTTGGTTTGGGTGCCATTCTAAGACCCTTGCTCTGACATCCTCCCACTTCTTCAAAGATTTTTAATGGCAGATGTCGGTATTGGTCCTCTTTCGTCAAAATGAAATCAGTTTCGGTTTTGAATGGAATTAAAACCGAAACTGATGGTCTACTCTGACTATGAATATTCTATTGGAAGAAAAGCAATACAGAACTTTGAAGTTTAATAGGCATGCAACATTATTCAAGAGAGATTAAAAACGATTTTTGGTCCGTTGGGTGTGGCAACCCTGCACATTATGCTTCGAGGGCCGAGAAGCGTTCGTTAGAATTCGTTTTAGTTCGTTATCTGAATATGTGTTCGTCGTTCCGAACACAAAAATCTTTCGTGAAAGTGTTCGTTGTTCGATTTGTTCGTAGTCCGAACTCTTCGTTAACCGATCACCCACTGCATCATGTTTTTCGCACATAAACGACATAAAATTAAATTCAACAGCAATATCCCAAACTATTTTAAAACAACATATCTAGAATTTTTGATAGACAATCTCGCGGACTGGAGATAACAGTGTTTTTTGTGTACAGTGTTGTCATTAATCGCTTTCAAATAATTGAGTTTGTGAATCAAAAATTCATTAAAATTCGAAATAAATGATAAAAGAAATTCGAAATTCAAAAATCGGGCTTCCAGGTGCCAATGTTTGGGTGAAGCATTACGTTATTCAAAATTTGATGGCTGTAGGTACCGATTTTTTTTTTTTTTTTCATAATGCAAAAAACTTCCGTACATTCATGCAGAT